CTGCAGCCTGATGAGGTCCTACAGGATTGTGACTCAGGAGGCTGAATATAGAGACTATGTCCTCCTTCCTGACCAACTGCTGGAATCCAAATAAAAGGCGTGCACGTTCTGCTCAGAAGCTCTTTTACATCGAAATGTTTCATTTGACCCCGAACCAGAAGGTGCATGAAGATCTAAGGTCTAGCCTGGTTTCCATTGGAGTGTTCCTACATCCTGTTGGGAACATCATCATCATCATCATCGGTTCAGCGTCTAACCTTTGTGATGATGTGTCTTTGTAGTGCAGCATCTGTCAATCTCTGCTTGGTTGGATTCACTTCAGGGCAGCAGAGCCGCCTCAGGGTGCAGATCTGAGCGTGTCTGTAGCAGCTGCTCTTTACTCTCAACTTCTGCAGAAGTCAGGAAGGTGCAGCGGTCCGACCAGTTCTCCCACTTCAGGAATGAGGTCCTGGCAGCCGTGTGACTCAGAGGCTTCACTGATCGGGAGCGTTCACCTCCGCTCAGCTTCACTCGGAGGTTTAACCAACAGGCTGCAGGGTCCATGGTGTCAGCACCACCTCAGATGTTTGTTCATCTCTAGCAGAGATGTCTAACCTGGTTGCACCTCCACAGGTTCATCCCTGAAGGAAGCAGAGTTTCTTCTGCGGTTTATTTAAACCAGTCAAGGTCAAACGTGTTGCCCTTTCCTTGGTTTCAGGCTCAAAGGCCTCACAGCCGCCCATCAACCTTCAGGTTCCAGCTCCCTCTAGTGGCCACTCACTGAAAGAGGACACATCTAAAAATGTGTTTGAGGAGATTTGATTTTAAATCTTTGAACGTGTTTAGCAGCGATTCTCCACTTGATTGACAACCAATCAAATGATCTGTTTTCTCCTTTAATAAAACCCTTTTTCTTTTATTTCTAATGCAACTAAAGTCCCGTTTATCTTTGTTCGTCTGTCAGAAATCTGAGGAGCTTTTCATTATGAATCTGCTCACATCCACAGCCTGATGCTACGTTCAGACGGCGAGCGCTTTGAGCATCAAAGAAGCTTCTGCTGCTTCATTTCTGATCCTCATTAAGGTCAGACGTCCAGTAAAGTGAGTCCAGATGCTTCTGCTGCTCCTGTGTTCGATGCCAGAGAGCAGCTTTGCTATATTAGCTGTGATCAGCGGGTAGAAAGTAGTTAGAATCTATGTTGAAGTGGCAGAAACAAAGAAAGAGTTAACCCCTAAAGCCCAGAGGGTCTTAGGAGCAAATTCTGCTTGAAATA